TCCACTTCAGTTCGCTGACCCCCAGAATGTCTATCTTTAGTCTTGACATCTCGCCAATTACAACATCCAATTTGCCCTGGCTCATAGATCTTACATTCCAGGTTCCTATGGTGTGTTGATCTTTAGAGCATCGGATTCGTCGTTCACCTCCAGTACCGTCGGCCGCTAGCCTTCCTTTCGGCTTTGAGCTAGCTGTGTCATCACATCTGGGGCTAGTTGAACTTATCCTCTGCTCCTCCCCAGTAGCATTTTGGACATCTTCCGACCTGGGAGTCCCATAGGGACCAACAAATGCAGCAAGGCCCAAACACGAATCAAGGAACATGAAAGGCACTGCAGGGTAATTCAACCAGAGAAGTCAGCCATAGCAGAGCACCTGATGAATCAACCTGGACACAGCATTTTATTTGAGAACACAGAAATGATGGACCACTCCAACAACCACCATGTCAGACTACACAGAGAAGCCACTGAAATCCACAAGCATGTGGACAATTTCAACAGAAAGGAAGAAACCATGAAAATGATCAAAATCTGGCTACCAGTATTAAAAAACTCTAAAATTACAACAGCAAAGCAACAGAGAGTAAACAATCAGGCATATCAAATCACCTCTCAAAAAAACATTCCCCCAGGCACTTCCAAGCCATTAAATGCTAATCAAGGTGGTCAGTTGAAACATTCACACCTAGCTGCAGCAGACAAAAGTCCTTTGTCCCACCCTGGTCATTCCACATTTTCCTACTTCCAAATAGACCTCACAACCTCTGAGGATGCTTGCCATAGATGCAGGCGAAACGTCAGGAGAAAATATGCCTCTAGAACATGGCCATTTAGTCCGGAAAAATCTACAGCAACCCAAGGACAACACTATGACTACAGGGGAATTCCAGACATGAAACAATCAGGGCCAGCTAACACCTCCCAACAAAGGATTACCCCAGGTAGGAATCAACCAGGCCTTGAAGCTGCAAGGCTTTGCAATGCTAATCAAGGTGATTAATTGCAACATTCACACTTTCCTCCAACAGACAAGGGTTCTTTCTCCCACCCTAGACCTTCCACGGATATATAAACCTCCCTTGCTTAGTTTTCCATATAAGTCACAACCTCAGAAGATGCCTGCTATAAATATGGGCGAAACGTCAGGAGATAATGCTCCTGGAACATGGCCATACAGCCCGGAAAACTCAACCCATTAAACAGATGTGCTGTAGTGGGCATTTGGAGCCAGTGCTCAATAATTCAGTGTATAACTCCTGGGAAAAGGTCTAAAAGTATATGTTGTGCCTACTTGAGTTCCTGGGGTGGGGGGCTTTCTAGTGGACCTGAGCTTATCAAGGAAAGACAATGTAAAGCCTTTTTTTCTGCTTCCCAAATGGGTCCAGAGATATCAGCTGACAGATTCAGGCACTGAGATTGCCAATGTGTAATTTCCATTATACTGTACTGTTTATATTTCCTTGTTCACTGAGCCTTTCTGTTGTATAAACTGTGCTGGGAATTCAGTCTCATCATGGGCTGTTTTGCATATTCACTCAACCTCATTCCTGATGAGTGCACCCCGAAAAGAGGTGCAGACATCAGGAATGAGGTTGGGTGAATATGCAAAACAGGCCCACCAACCAGGCCAGACTTTAAACCTGCCAATGACACCAGTTCCTTTTTCCCGCCACAAGGAAACACCAATCAGCAGTGACAATGAAAGGGATCCCCAACCAACAGGAGCCTGGATGAAAACTGCACCACTTTTCAGCCAATCAAAGGCTGGGGTGGGAACTTTGAATATATAAAATGTCTTGCGTTCCTCCATGTGTTCAGATTACATCTCTGAGAGCACAGACTCTGCTCTGATTTTCTTTTTTGGCCCAATTGAATAAACCTATGTTGGCTTTGTGTTTCAAATTCAACTGGGGTAGTAGGGCTCACCAGGCCCGGACCCACATTTCAGTGGAGCTGAAATAATATACACACCCCTTCAGGCAGTAGCTTGAGGTCATGAGGCTGGGTACTTGTTTCGACAGGACCAACCAGCTTTTTGTGAGTTCAGAGCACACAGATCAAGTGAAAGGCTGATGCAAGGCGTTCTGCTGACCTAGCCTTGGCCAAGTGCGTTGATCTAAAGCAGAACTGCAGGTGCAGACGCTGTTGTGATCCATACCAGGGCAAAGAGGTCCAGTGCTGCTTTGGACAAGGGGTCAGAAAGGGCTGGGAAATGGGTCTTAGGTTAACTGCATTTCCCATCTCAGCAGTCCGAAGGGTTTGTTCACTAGCACGCAATCAGAGTTGGAAGGGATCTCTGGGCCATCTATTGCTCCTCCCTGCAAAAGTAACCTTGAAAGTCTCTTCTGTTGGACATTCATCTTCTAATACAGTTTCTCAACCTGAGAGTCGGGACCCCTAGGGGGGTGTCGCTAGGGGGTTTCAAAGGGGTCGCCAAAGACCACATATATTTCTGATGGTCTTAGGAACCACGCCTTTGGCAGAGAAGGCTGAAGATCTCTCCGTCTGTCCTTTCCTTCCTTTTTGGAAACAGACGGTGAATCCTCCCACCAAAAGCCCTCCTCTGTTGTGATTGGCCGGCCTCTCATCCGGCCTCTCAGGCAAAGAGGAGGGATGTTTCTGAGACTCCAAGTGGGGAGGGGAGAGCAAGTGTGCTTGTCACATGGCAGCATGGTGCGTATGTACAGGTGAGGGAGAGCGTGCGAGGTGGGAGGGAGGCTCACACCAGTGAGTCCCTTCAAGGCATGGAGGTTCTGTGTTGGAAGTTTGACCCAATTCTATCATTGGTGGTGTTCAGAAAACAATGAAATGCAGAGATATAGGATGAATTACACTCGGAAAGGGAACAGCAGCTGTGACTGGCATGGCCTTTACCCCTCTTCCCCAACACCCAAAAATGAAAGTCTCAAAAATTGAAAGGCTTGCAAATTTAAAAAGCTAGAACTCTTAAGGTTGTAACCAATAGTCCACATTCCAATTTTTGAGAACTGTAGTTGACCCACAGTCAAAGAACACTGTGAACCCAACTAACAAGGGACCTGGACCAAACTTGGAACGCATACTCATCATGGCCAACTTTGAATACCAGTGGGGTCTGGGGAAAATTAACCAATACTTTGGGAATTGTAGTTCTCCTTCAATCAAAGACCATTGTGAACCCAGCCAACGAAGGATCTGAGCCAAACTTGGCCTCAACGATGTCAGAGCCAGCATGACCTAAGAGGCATCCATGCTGCCACTGGAAGTGTGTAGGCTCCACATGCTTCCTAGGCGGAGGGAGCACAGGACCCTCACGGAGCCCGATTGTCATTAGGGCTCCATGGAACACAGTTTGAAAATCACTGATCTTAACCAAATTTGGCACACATAACCAACATGACCAATTTTGAATGCTGATGGGGTTTGGAAGGAACTGACCTTGAATATAGGGAGTTGTAGTTCCACCCACATCCAGAGAGCATTGTGAACCCAACCAACAATGGATGCCAGATACCTAAGCTAGTAGATATATAGAAAGAATTTTAAAAAAATAAGCCTTTTGTGTCATGAAACAAGGAAAGATTAAAATCTAATACAAATACAATTAAAACTACATTTAAACAACTACATAGCGCCATAAAACCCCATTCACACGGTTCAACTCAATGCCACTTCGATCAGACCACACCTGAAATTACAGAATATCCAAGAAGGCTATTGACAAGCTGGAACACTTCCAGAGCAAGACAACCAAAGTGATCAAAGGTCTGGAAACGATACCTTTTGAGAGATGGGTGAGAGGGAGCTGGGTATTTTTCGCTTGGAGAAGAAAAGGCTGAGAAGGCTTGTGGGGGCCATGTTTAAATATTTGAAAGGATGTTCCATTGACTCAATGGAGACATGGATTCAAATTGCAGGAAAAGAGATCTGACATGAACAACATTAGGAAGAACTTCCTGGAGGTAAGAGTTGTTTGGCACTAGGAATCTGGTGGAGTCTTCCTCTGTCGGGAGTGCTTTGATTGTGTGTTCCTGAATGGCAAAATGGGGTTGGGCTAGATAGCCCTAGGGTTCACTATTATACACAGTTTTGCAAATCCAACCCTGTAGAAATTAGTTTGTATTGTCCTCCAAAATCCACATTTATCCCCATGGGTGGCTGAGAGACTGACATTTTTGCTCTCTGATGGTTCACTGTATATGAACTTTGTCTCATGAGCAACACCGCTACAGATATATTGAATATAAAGCTATTGGCTATTTGTATAAGAAGGCATATGTGGTCAGTGAATTTCATGTTTAGACTTGGGTCCCATCTCCAAACTACTCATTATGTATATGAAAAAAACCCAAATTTTCTGGTCTCAAGCATTTTAAAAAACAAGAGGAAACTCAGTATGAATTTGCTCCCTGGATAGTCAGATATAGGTTGGGTTATACCTGACTTGACAGATGTCTGTGTGAAAGGGATCTAGGAGTCTTCGTAGACCACAAACTGACCATGAGTGAACAGTATGATGCAGCAGCTAAAAAGGCAATGTGACTTGATCTGCATCAACAGGAGTCTAGTGTCTAGCTTTAGTCAGATCTTACCTGGAATCATAACCCTAAGTCCAGTTGTGGGCATGACAAGTCAACAATGACATTGACAAGATAAAAGATGCCCAGAGGAGAGTGACTCAAAAAGGCCAAAGATCTGGAAGCCAAGCTATATGGGGAGCAGCCAAAGGAAGTGGTCAATCTCTCTGGAGGTTTTTAAGCAGAAGCTGGATGGCCGTTTGTCAGGAGGGGTTTGATTGAAGGAGGTTGAACTGGATAACCTTTGGGAGTCTGCTCTAACTGTATGAATCTGTTTAGGCTTTTACTGCTGGAATGAAGGTACCTAAGTGAAAGCAGGGGCTTGTACCGAAGTCAGGGATCACCTGGTCAGTCACTGACAGGTCTGGCATGCCTGCTTGCCTTCCTTCCTTCTTCACATGCTCCAATGTCTTCTCACCTTCCTCTTCTTTCCACAGGGCGCCTACATTTATGGACCCTCCCCTGGACCTTTAACCTTCAATGATGGTACTGCGAGTCTGGACAAAATGCTGCTATCGTCCCCGGCTGCTCTGGGGATTGCTCCCCACACTGATGGTTCTCTTGATCATTCGCTTCTTGATCAGTGGGGGCCATGAGGAGCTGCTCTCACGCTCACTGCCTTACTTCATGGCGGGCGGGGGGCACCCCATCAGCCCCCCACTCCTGCCCTCCTCAGATGACTTCCTCCTCCTGCCACCACCTGAGGCCTGCTCCCCCAGGGCTCCTTCCCTCCTGGTCTTGGTGGTCAGTGCCCCTTACCATATAACTCAGCGACAGGCAATCCGGTCCACGTGGGGAGGGGCCCGCTGTACCGGGAAGTTCACAGTCCAGACTTTCTTTGCCTTGGGACTGCCACGGAAACCCTCGTTTCAAGCAGCATTGGAACGGGAGGCGGCCAAGCACCAGGATCTTGTCCAGGGCCGCTTCTTGGACACTTACGGCAACCTGACACTCAAGACACTATCCCTCATGGGCTGGGCAGCTACCCACTGCCCTGGCACCCTCTTCTTGGTAAAGGTGGATGATGATATCTTCCTCAACCTGCCCGGCCTGGCTGAGGAGCTGGAACACTGCACCACCCTGGCACCCACCTACCTAGGTCAGATCCACTGGCGCGTCTGGCCCAACCGGGACTCCCGCAGCCGGCACTACATCCCCGCCAGCCTTTATCCAGCGGGGCACTTTCCCCCCTACTGTGGCGGTGCAGTCTATGTCCTTTCAGGGGCTGCCGTGCCCATTTTGCTGGGGGCTAGCCGCCATGTGCCCCTGGTGCCTGTGGAGGACATCTTCGTGGGGCTCTGTGCCCATTGGGCAGGCATCGTCCCTCAGCACCTGTCCCGACTGACTGGTGGGGACCACTTCCCGCCAGACCGCTGTTGCTATCGGGGGGTTCTCCTCAGCGTACACAAAGTAACCCCTGTTGAGATGGCAGCTGTCTGGGACACAACCACCCCCTACCAGGAGACATGCCACGTCTGGCAGTGGGCACTAGGGTACCTGCGATGCAAGGCCCTGGCCTGGATGGCTACCCTGTGAGCTAAGAGGCAGCTGAATGGTCATTCTAGCTAGATGTCAAGCTGTGGCCAAGGCTCTCTAGTGAAGATGTTGGGCATCTCTCCATCTGTCCATCCATTCATCTTGACCTCTCTGCTCCTGTTGCTTTTTTTGTTTGGATTTTATTATTTACTAGCCGTCCCCTGCCACGTGTTGCTGTGGCCCACATGGGGGTTCTGTGTGGGAGGTTTGGCCCAATTCTATCATTGGTGGGGTTCAGAATGCTCTGTGATTGTAGGTGAACTATAAATCCCAGCAACTACAACTCCCAAATGTCCAAATTCTATTTCCCCCAATGTCCACCAGTGTTCACATTTGGGCATATTGAGTATTCTTGTAGAGTTTGGTCCAGATCCATCATTTTTTGAGTCCACGGTGATCTTTGGATGTAGGTGAACTACAACTCCAAAATCAAAGGACACTGCCAACCAAACCTTTCCAGTATTTTCTGGTGGTCATGGGAGAACTGTGTGCCAAGTTTGGTTCAATTCCATCGTTGGTGGGGTTCAGAATGTTCTTTGATTGTAGGTGAACTATAAATCTCAGCAACTACATCTCCCAAATGACAAAATCAAATTTTTTTTGAGTGAAGGACATACATTGGGTTGTTAGGTGTATGCTGTCCAAATTTGGTGTCAATTCGTCCAGTGGTTTTTGGGTTCTGTTAATCCCACAAACGGTTACATTTTTATTTATATAGATTTCTGAAAATTTTACAGATAATAATGCATTATAGTACAAACCTTCTCCAAATCAGTATAGATAACTATTTACAGTTTTTGTGACAAAGTTACAGGATCAGTTTGTACTTCCCTTTTCAATAGAGATCCTTAGTTTCTCCTTGAATCCCCCACCCCCCACTCCCATCCCCTTCCCACCCCCCACCTGGGTCAGCTTATATGTCTGGATGGCCTGGTTCAAAATTCTGTACCTGTTATTTCTTTCCCTTTTGTCCATTAAACAATCGCCTATTCCAGTGTTGTTTTGAATAACTATTCAAATATTTATTTTTCCTTTGATTGATAAAGTCGTTAATTAAATATTCAGAGAGCTACGTCCACCAAGTTTCAAGGTTCCACCTTGTTTTGTCTTTCCAACCTCGAGCAATTGTGGCATGTATGGCAGATATCATAATTTTTAGTATTTCTGTCCATTATTTATTCCTCTTCTTTACCTTTGTTGTGAGGCACAGAAATTGGGCTTTATTCTAATATAGTTTTTGCCCTATTATTTCATCTATTACTTCTCTGACTGTATTGTAATATTTTTGGATTTCAACGCAATCCCACCACATATGTGAAAATGTTCCCATCTTCCTACACTTATGCCAGTATTTATTAAAAATGTTTCCCATAATGTGTGCCAATTGTACACTAAAACGCAGAGCAATTGAATTTCAACCTCTGCTGAAGCCCATTAAGGAGTCAGTTCAGTAACCATAAGAGTGGATTTTATTACGGACGTTGGCAGCATATTTTTCACGTTGGGTAATTTTCAGGTTAAACTCCCTTGTAAGGGGGTTCTGTACCATTTTGTAATTATTTTCTGTTGTGTTTCTTTGATCCTTAGGTGTTTAAATTTTTGGGTTTGTCAATCCAAGACCTGATTAAATTCTTATTAAACTTTATATCTTGTTTCCAAGCTTCTACTGACTTGGCACAGTAGTCCATACTTTTGTTACATCCTAAATAGATTGCTGCAATGCAAAGCTTCAACTAGTCCAGCACGTGGCAGCCAGGTTGCTCACTGGAGCAGGATACAGAAAACATACAACTCCTCTGTTACACCGGCTCCACTGGTTCCCAGTCAGTTTCCGAGCACAAGTTAAAGTGCTGGTTTTCACCTTTAAAGCCCCGTATGGTCCTGGCCCAGATTGCCTGTCTGAACGCATCTCCCGCTATGAACCATCATGAAATTTAAGATCGGCTGGAGAGGCCTTGCTCTTGATCCCACCACCATCGCAAACACGACTGGTGGGGATGAGAGACAGGGCCTTTTCTGTGGTGGCCCCTTGGTTATGGAGCTCCCTTCCCAGTGACATCAGACTGACCCTCTCCCTCCTGTTTTTTAGAAAGAAACTAAATACCTTGTTGTGAGATTGAGCATTTGAACAGTAGCAGCAGAAACTGGGATAAGACTCAATGTGATATGTATGACAATGGACTGTCCCAGACAATGATTTTAAAACTAACATGATTTTAATCAAATGTTTTTAATGTAATGTATTTTAATGATTTGTCTAAATGTGTCTATGACTGTGGTTAGCACTCAAATGAGTGCTGGTTGTAATGCCACCCTGAGTCCCCCCACCAGGGGTGAGAAGGACGGGGTACGAATATACAAAATAATACTAAGGTATATTTTGTCTTGTAGGATAAGCCTATTAGTTCCCTATAAATTTCCCCAATAATTCCTTTCTTTTTTTCTATTTTCCAGCTAATTCCACCTTTGGACCATGATTAGTACTTTAATCATGAAGCCCAAAGTCCTAGTGATTGATTCATGCTAGCACTTTATGGACTGATACGGTGCACAGCTTGTTTTTATCTGAAGCCTTGCTGTGTCTGTTGGATTTTAAAATGGTAGGGTTTTTATTAGCATGCTGTTTTTGTGTAAATATATGTTGTTTATATGCAAATGTATGTTGATTTATGTAAATGAGTCCCTCCAGGGAAGTAGGGTGGAATATAAATAAAGGTTGTTTTTTTTAATTATTTTATTTGTACAGAAACCCAATGTAGGGACTCAAGGTGACTAACAGCAAACATGACACAATGGTAATTTTATAAATAGCAAATGCATTAAAATCTATATCCATAGCTATCTATGTGAGGGAAAGCATGAATTCCGCCCCCCCCCCCCCCCCCGGGGTGTGTGTGTCAAATTGTTAGTAAAGTGTAACTGGAGCAGCGATCGGAAGAGCCACAGTGAGCAGGAGCCTGGAGTCTTGCTGATCAGTTATGCGATCGGAGGAGCCCAGAGGCATGTACCAAGTGCCCTGGATACATTCTATCTTTCTCCCTTTATTACAAAGTAACCCTTTCAATACATGTACACTTTGGCGCGTTACCCTTATATTTGATTCATTGTATCCTTTTTGATTCCTTGTATCCTTTTTGCCTCCAGCAAAGGATCACCACCTTGTCGTGGCACTGGAGCTTGAGCACCTCAATGATGCCACGAGCGAAACCGTGAAGGGCCACCCAAGACGGGAGGTCGTGGCAGAGAGGTCAGACCAAGCTTGATCCCTGGGGAAGGCAATGGCACATTTACTGAGTCATTCAACCCCAGACTGGATATTTCTTCCCAGTTTCCCTTGTCCTAAGCTGTTCATGACACATATGACTCAGTAACAGTCATCATAATAAAAATGGATTTTTAGCAAACTGGGGTGAGTCTAGATGTCCCTTTAAGATCCCTTCTTCTCGGGCTTCAACTCCTCTGCAAGAGGCATACTTCCTCTTTTTCACTCCGCGCTTGGAGGAAACCACAAGCGCCTCTGTGACTGAAGCCCGGAAAATAAAGATTTCACATCCAGCCTCAGATGTAACTTTAGTATATTCTCTATTCCCTATAGACACATATAATGGGAAGAGACCTCATCCAGCCTACCCCTGCATTCTTATCTAGTCCTTTCCACTCATCCACCAGACAACTATCAAAGATAATCAAAGCAATGTATTGTCGAAGGCTTTCATGGCTGGAATCACTAGGTTCTTGTGGGTATTTTGGGCTATAGGGCCATGTTCTAGAGGCATTTCTCCTAGAGGAGAAATGCCTCTAGAACATGGCCCTATAGCCCAAAAAAACCCACAAGAACCTAATAATCAAAGCACTCACACATTTTCCCCACAGACAATAATCTCTCTCACGTAGGGTTTTCCTAACTGCACAATTTTCATGGACGCTCACCGCAAATAGGACATCGCAACAGAACTTGATCTCACAGCCCGCATCTAGGAGTGAGGTAAGCCAGGAGAAACCTTTTCTTCATCATGTTTCACCCGACTCATCTTCCCTCCAGATGATTTTTGTCTTTTAATATATTCAGACTCAAATGCCATTTTTTTTTTCAAACGGGACAATAACATGATTGATATTGATCTTTACCACTCCCAGGAAATCAATTCCATCTTTCCCTTTTGTTCCATATTCCACCACCAGTATACTGTCCTAAGAGAAGCAACACGAGACAAGGACAACCAATTAACAAACACTTTCTACAACATTTTCAACAAACAAAAGGCCTTATCGAATCATTCACATACATTCTCTTCTCTTTCTTTTAACCACAAACTCCAAACTCATCCTGGGCTAGGCTAACCAACCCAGCCACCCCGTCTATTACCTCTCGGTGTTCCCTGTCTGCGCCCACCTGCAACATTCATCATACCACCAACACTTCTGTTTTCCTGATTACTCTCAAACACCATTATCATAATTTCCACTTTTCGACACACCCTGTTCACCTTCCTTAGCGCTTCTTCTACCTCTAAAGTTCTCTGTTCCAATTTCTTTGCCTTCTCCTCAGCTCTTAAAATGCATGAATCCATATCCTGTGGAGATAGTGCCTTAAACTCATTGTCCGGGGCAAAATGTGGGGCAAGGCTGGGGTCCGCCTCTCCAGGGCCGTAGCCAGAAAAAAATTTCGGGAGGGGTTGAAATTTTCGCGGGTTTTTTTTGAAATTTTCACAGGGGGGTTGAAATTTTTACAGGAGGGGGTTGAAATTTTCACGGGGGAGGTTTGAAATTTTTGTGGGGGGGGGGTTGAAATTTTTGCGGGGGGGGTTTGAAATATTCGCGGGGGGTTGAAATTTTCACGGGGAGGGGGGTTGAAACCTGCCTCTTAGTTCACGCTGAAGCAAAGAATACAGCAGGGGGCTCCTCCACCAAGTCTGGCCTCCTTAATGAGAGCATTCAACACACACACCCACAACTTGGTTGCTTCACTACATCAGCTATTGCTGCAAGTAATGACAGTGTGAATAAACTGTCAATATTTGCTTGAGATAGTGCTTGCAGTTCTGGAGGGACTCTTAATGTTTTGTATCCCATAGACTTAGCATGGGGATTTGGTTAACCAGTTAAAATTCATGAGTAAACCAGTTTTTTAAAAAAATCTGAAACATTTCGGGGGGGGGGGTTGAACCCCTAACCCCCCCCCCCCTCGCTACAGGCCTGCGCCTCTCCCACAAGTGGAGCCATGGTGGGGATATCCCTTTCAGCTTGGCTACCTATTTCCACAATCTTTTCCATCGTCATGAATGCATTCTGAACCTCACCAATGATAGAATTGAATCAAACTTTCCACACAGAACCCCCATGACCACCAGAAAATACTGTGTTTGCTGATGGTTTTGGTGACCTCTCTGACACCCCTTTATGACCTCCGCAGGGGTCCCAACCCCCAGGTTGATAAATGCTGCCTTAAGTCCATCCAGTCCAACTCCCTTCACCAGCGCAAGAAAACATAACCAAAGCCCTCCTGACAAACAGCTATCCTGCCATAGATATAGATAGATAGATAGATAGATAGATAGATAGATAGATAGATAGATAGATAGATAGATAGGATTCACACACACACATACACACACACACACACACACATGTATATGACAGATATAATATCATAGATTTGAAAGGGACCCCTAAAGAAGGACTATTCCATGTTGCATGTTCCAGAGTAGGCAAACCAGACAATCTCTACATCAACACTGACAAAGAAACAAGAAGAAATACTGTTTACCCACAAGCATAAAGAAATTACATATATTAGAAACCAACACTTTCTCATTACTTTATTTTCCAGATCAGCAGACTGGGCCACAGCAACGCATGGCCGGGGACGGCTAGTAAAATAATAAAACTTTATCTGTATTCCGCCCTATCTCCCTGAGTGAACGGAAAGGTCTGGAAACCACACCTGTCATCGAGGGCAGCCGAGGCCCCCGCCTTCAAGTTGGTCTGACCCGCAGCGGAGAGTTCCACAGTTCCTGGAAGCCCTAATTGGGACAAACTAATGAAATGTGCCCCAACAGACAGCTCAAACAGGGACTGCACAAAGCCTCCATGCCTTTCTCTCACTTTCCCCCAAGCCCTAACTTTGTAACCATTCCCTTAATAAAGGTACTTGAAATTGCAACTTTTTAACTTTCTAGCCTGATACTTTGTGTCACTTCTTGCTTGAACCAACTAAATGCATGAATTCGACCTTTTCCAGGCCGTGGGAGACTGCGGGCCTGCCCAGAATGCCTCCCTGGCGTTCCGGGGACGCCGGATTCGCGCCGCTTGAAACCGCGGATACTGAGTTTTTCCTTTCAGATCTCCGTATCCACAAAATGGCGGATTGGCTCCATTTTAATGCCTTATTTTTCTGTACTAAATTCTAACCCTACTGCCATCTCGCTTTTCTTATTTTGGACCCCTACGCTCAGGAAATAACCTCTCAAGTTTTGAGAATATATTTTATTAGAAACAGCTGATTGTCAAATGTGCCGGTCCCATTGCTGCTGCTTCATTGCGCCTCGCTGCCTCTCGCCTCTGCCAAGTTCTGGACCCGGAGACTTGATGCGGTTCCCCCATGGGACCTCGGGGAAGAGCCTGGTCAGGGGACCCTGGACCTTGGGAGGAGATTCTAGTTCCCCAAGGACCGAAGATTGAATCGACTGCAGCACTGCTGGGGTCTCATCTGTCAGCCTTCCCAAAGATCAGGGACTCTCTATCTGCCTGTCTTGGACTTCAGAAAATACAATTTCCCCCATGAACCTTCTTCAAAGACTCCTTTTAAAACACTGGACTCAAAGCTTCCAAAAGGAATTAAATCTTTTATTAAATGTACTTGGAATGTGGGACAAGGATGGGATTTATTACTATGAAATGTTTATGATTTGAATTTATGTATATCTTTTTATGAATTATCCTTTGCCCTTTTGCTTTGCCTGACTCTTGGCCCCTTACCGAACCTTAGAGCGACGACCAGGAAGTAACCAGCTGCCCGAGGGGGCTGTTGCCCTCACAAAAACAAAATTACACAAACTCTTGCATGGACAATAGCAAAGGAAGTTCCTATTGATTTTCAAAGTTAGGCTGATTGATAGGCATCTCCTCCGGTCAAGTTTTGATTAATAGAAACAATACAGGCCAGACTGCCCACAGGGGGTCTTCTGCCCAGCTCCATTTTTGCCTCACCCAAGACACATCACAAACACATCTTATCAGATCAGGGACAGGAAAACTCATCTTAAATCAATCACCTTCTCATTATCAAGACAATGACCCAATCCCCCAGCTGGCCGATTTTTCGAACACAGGGACACGTAGGTTTCAAGAATGTCATAATCCTATCATCCCCCATTGTCTCTGATCGTCCCACCTCCTCTTCCCTGATTCGTCAATTCTCCAAAGCGAGGAAAGCTTCCTGGTAGGCTCCCTCGAAGTGGGGAAGCCTCATGATTGGCCCCGGCCGGGGGCGGGCCGCCAAGCCTCCTCCCAGCTGCTCAGCCACCAGCCAATCACCATCAAGCCGGGCAGGGAAGGGAGGGCGGGAATTCTGAAATCTCTGTACATGTTTTTGCTATAAAAATGCTTCCAAACTTTGTATTGGTATGCTTGCATGTGAGATATCACTGCAATTGCATCCGCTTCAGCTGAATTGCTCATTAAACCTCGGTGCCACTTCTTCGCCTTGGCAAGAGTCTCATTTCAATTTTTAATATTAATAAAACTGCTGGAATCAGGCTTCTCTAATGGCTTGCCAAGATACCGGACCCTCTTTGGTGCGGTCCTAGGGGTCTCTCTTACTGGGGAGACCCTCCTAAAGTCCATATTGACTTCACACCTTCTGAGAGACAGGTGAGAGTGAGCTGAGTATTTTTCAGTTGTAGAAGAAAAGGCTGAGAGGGCTTGTGGAAGCCATGTTTAAATATTTCAAGGGATGTCCCATTGAGGAGGGGGAAAGCTTGCTTTTCTGCTGCTCTACAGACTAGGACGCAATGGAGCCATTGATTAAAATTGCAGGAATAGAGATCCCACATGAACATTACGAAGAACTTCCTGGAGGTAAGAACTGTTTGGTAAAGGAATAAACTGCTGCTTGGGAATCTGACGGAGTCTTCTTCTGTGGGGGTTTTTAAGCAGAGGCAGGAAATTCATCTGTAGGGAGTGCTTTGATTGTATGTTATTGCATGGATTGGATGGCCCTAGGGTTCACTATTATTCTGTTTTGCAAACCCAACCATGTTGAAATTAGTTTGTCTCATCCTCCAGAATCCAAAATTACCCCCATGGGTGGTTGAGAAAATGACAGTTTAGCTCTTTGATGGTTCATTGTATATAAACTTCGTCCCATGAGCAACAATGTTATAGATATTGACAAACTGGAACACTTCCAGAGAAAGACGACCCAAGTGATCAAAGGTCTGGAAACCATGCCCTTTGAGAGACGGGTGCAAGGGCGCTGGGCTTTTTTTGCGTGGAGAAGAAAAGGCTGAGAGGGCTTGTGGGAACCATGTTTAAACATTTTAAAGGATTCTCCATTGACGAGGGGAAAAGCTTGCTTTTCAGCTGCTCTACAGACTAGGATATAATGCAGCCATGGATTCAAATTGCAGGAAAAGAGATTCCACATGAACATTAGGAAGAACTTTCTGAAGGTAAGAGCTGTTTGGCATTGGGAATCTGGTGGAGTCTTCCTCTGTCGGGAGTGCTTTGATTGTGTGTTCCTACATCGCACAATAGAGTTGGACTGGATAACTCTAGGGTTCACTGTTATGCATAGTTTTCCAAATCCAATCCTGTAGAAACTAATTTGTATTATCCTCTAAAATCCAAATTTATCCCCATGTGTAGCTGAGAGACTGACATTTTTGCTCTCTGATGGTTCACTGTATATGAAGTTTGTCTCATGAGGAACACTATTATAGATAGCTATTGGCTACTTGTATAATAAGTCATTTATTTATTTATTTATTTCCAACATTTTTACCCTGTCCGTCTCTACCCCTGAAGGGGGGCTCAGGGCGGCTTACAACGGCAGCAATGCGAGGCCAACAACATACAACACAACAACAAAACTTTATTTATATACCGCTCTATCTCCCCAAGGGGACCCAGAGCAGTTTCCAAGTAACATAATCAATACATACAAAGAAAACAGCATAAACATAATATTAACAAGACAATATAAACATTAAAACCACAAAAGCACATATATTTAAAATAATCCTGCCTGTTCAAGGCACTTTAAAAGGCCGGGCCTGGCTGTACATTTCCAGGGCCTAATAGAAGAAAATGACCTGGGTAATTAGTAGAAAAAAGATATGGTCAATTTCAACGGTATCTGGGGCAGAGCTAGAACTAGTCATTCTCAAAGGTTTGTTTAAACCACCAGGTCTTCAGGTTCTTACAAAAGGAGGGGAGGGATCAGACCTGTCTTATTTCTCCAGGCAGGGCGTTCCAGAGGTGAGGGACCACCACCGAGAAGGCCCTCTCTCTTGTCCCCACCAACCGTGCTTGTGATGGTGGTGGGAGCTAAAGGATGGGTCTCCCTGGAAGATCTTAAAAGTTTGTGCTGGTTCATAGAGGGAGATGCAATCGTGAAAATAGGCGGAGCCCGAACCGTTTAGGGCAGCGGTTCTCAACCTGGGGGTCACGACTCCTGAGGGGGTTGTTCAGCCATTTTCTGGGGGTTGTGAAGTTGCCTTGGCTGCCCCCGCCCCCTCCAAAATGACTGTCGACCCCCTGAGCCAGCCAGGGGCTCCTCCTCCTGCTCTTCCCACAGACCTGTGGGTAGTCAGCAGGAGGAGTTTTGGAGGCAAAGGCATGGGGGAAGAAGACTCCCCTCGATTCAGGCCTGCGAGTAAACTTCCTGCCGTCCTCAATGCCTGACCATCTGTGGAGCCTTAACCCCCAGCCCCTGCCTCCTTCCGAGCTCAGAAGGGAGTGGGGGACGGGCGGGAGGAGTTCTCTGTGCCAAGTTTGAGTCCATTCCATGATTGCATGAGTTCAGAATGCTATATATGGGAGAGAACTATATATCCCAGCAGCTCCAAAACGCCAAGGTCTATGTACCCCAGTCCTCTCCAGTATTTTCTGTTCACCATGGGAGTTATCTGTGTCAAGTTTGAGTCCATTCCATGGTTACATGAATTCAGAATGCTTTTGGATGGGAAAGAACTATATATCCCAGCAGCTCCAAAATGCCTAGGACTATGTACCCCAATCCTCTCCAGTATTTTCTGTTCACCATGGGAGTTCTCTGTGCCAAGTTTGAATCCATTCCATGGTTGCATGAGTTCAGCATGCTTTTGGATGGGAGGGAACTATATATCCCAGCAACTCCCAAGTGTCAGGAAAATAACCCCAAAACTCTCCAGTAATTTCTGTTGGTTACAGGAGTTCTGTATGCCAAGCTTCTTCAATTCCATTTTTGTTGGAGTTCAGAATGCTCTCTGATGGCAGAGGAATTATAAATCCCAGCAACTGCAACTCCCAAATATCATGATCCATTTTCCCCAAACTCCACCACTGTTCAAATTTGGGCATATTGAGTATTCATGCCAAATTTGGTCCAGGTCCATAGTAATTTGGGTTCTCAGTGCATTCCGGATGTCGGTGAACTACATCTCCCATAAATTACTGTCAAACTCCTCCAGTATTTTCTGTTGGTCATGGGAGTTCTGTGTGCCAAGTTTGGTCCAGGTCTGTAATTCGTGGGGGATCTCAGTGGTCTGTGGAAGTCAGAGCTGAATTGGTTGAAGGTACTGCAAATCCCACCATCCGTTGTCCATACTCCCCCAAACATATTGTTTTTGTGATTATTCACTATGCTTTAATTATGTTCAATTTGTAACAATGAAAATACATCCTGCATATTAGATATTTGCATTAGAATTCATAAGAGTATTTATGAAGTAGCAACGGAAATATGGTTGGGGGTCACCACAACACGAGGAACTTTATTTGGGGGTCACCGTATTAGAAAGGTTGAGAATCACTGGTTTAGGGCTTTATAGGTCATAACCTGCACCTTGAATTTGGCTCGGCATCTTATCGGCAGCCAGTGGAGCTGTTTTAAAAGGGGCTCCATATAGTTTGCTCCAGTAAGGAACCTGGCTGCCGCCCCTTGTACCAGTTGGAGCTTCTGGGCTGTATTCAAGGACAGCCCCACGCAGAGCGCATTGCAATAGTCCAATCTGGATGTAACCAAAGCGTGGATCATGCTGGCCAAGTCAGACTTCACGATGTATGGTTGCAGCTGGCACACGAGTTTAAGTTGTGCAAAGGCCCTCTCCCGGCCACCGTCAACACCTGAGCATCAAGTGACAGCGTTGAGTCTAGGAGGACCCCCAAGCTACGGACCTGCACCCTTAGGGGGAGTGTAACCCCATCGAGCACAGGTTGCCACTCAATACCCCGGTCGGCCCCACGACTGACCAGGAGGACCTCTGTCTTGTCTGGATTAAGCTTCAACCTGTTAGCCTTCATCCAGTCCATCACAGCAGTCAGACACTGGTTCAGGGTCTGGGAGGCTTCCTTGGAGTTTGGTGGAAATGAGTAGTAGAGTTGAGCGTCATCTGCATACAGATGGCACCCAACTTCAAAACTCCGGATGACCTCACCCAGTGGTTTCATGTAGATATTAAAAAGCATGGGGGATAGAATGGAACCTTGCAGGACCCCTCAGGTCAAAGGCCACGGATCCGATCAGGTCTCCCCCAGCTTCACCAATTGGGAGCGACCCTCCAGGAAGGAGCGGAGCCACTGCAGAGCAATGCCCCCATAATCCATTCCAGAGAGCTGTCCCAGAAGGATACCATGGTCGATGGTATCGAAAGCCGCTGAGATATCCAGGAGAACCAACAGGGACACATTCCCCCTGTCAAGTTCTCTTTGGAGATTATCCACCAAGGTGACCAAAGCCGTCTCAGTGCCATGGCCAGGTCTAAAACCAGACTGATATGGATCTAGATAATTGGTGTCGTCCAAGAATCCCTGGAGTTGGGAGGCAACCACCCGCTCTAGAACCTTGCCCAGGAAGGGGAGGTTAGAGATAGGCCATGGTCCTTGTTCAGGACCAAGGAATCTAGGGATGCCTTTTTAAGCAACGGTCTCACAATTGCACTTTTCGGGCTCGATGGAATATGTCCCTGTTCCAATGAGGCATTTATGATCTTCGAGATCCACTTGGCCAATCCCCCACTGGTAAGTTTAACCAGCCAGGAAGAGCAAGGGTCCAGGGCACAGGTGGTTGCTCTCACCGCTCCAAAAATCTTGTCCGCGTCATCAGGCTGAACAGGTTGAAATGAATCCATCAAAACCAGACAGACATGTACCTCAGTTACATCCATGGACACTGCATCAAAACTGCCATCTAAGTCGGAACTCTGTTGAGCGACTTTATCTGCATAGTGATGTGCGAACTTGCCACATCGAGTTGCCAGGAGTTGCCACATTACGTACAACATTATACAAAAGATAAAACATTAGATTAAAATACATTTAAAACATTATTATTATGTAGTCAAATCAAAGTCTATTTTAGCAACTGGCGACCCAGTCCAAAGCCTGTCATAGTCAAAAATTCCAACATTCTGATTACTGCCAAACCTATTGTTCAAAGGCCTGGTCCTAAAACCGTTTTGAGCGTCTTTCTAAAAGAGAGCAGGGATGGAGCCGACCTAATCTCACTAGGGAGAGCATTCCACAGGTGTGGGACCACCACCGAGAAGGCCCTGTCCCTCGTCTCCACCAAACACACTTGCAAAGAAAGCGGGACCGAGAGCAGGGCCTCCCTGGACGATCTTAAATTCTGAGGAGGGACATAGAGGGAGATATGTTCGGACAGGTAAGCTGAGCGAGAGTCATACAAGGCTTTATAGGCCAAGACCAGCACTTTGAATTGTGCTCGGAAATGGACCACAGCCAGTGGAGCTGACATAACAGAGGGGTGATATGTTCCCTGTATGTTGCTCCAGTTAGTAATCTAGCTGCCGCCTGTGGGACTAGTTGGAGTTTCTGAACAGTCTTCAAAGGCAACCCCATGTAGAGTGTGTTGCAGTAATCTATTCAGGATGAAACCTGAGTGTGGACCACCGTGGTCCATTGGCATATATAAATTTCAGTGAATTTCATGTTTTCACTTAGCTCCCATCTCCAAACTACTCATTATGTATATGCAAAACCCCAAACTCTTCGGGTCTCAAGCATTTTGGAAAACATGAGGAAAATCAATTTGAGTTTGCTCCCTGGATAGTCAGACATAGGTTGGGTTACACCTGACTTGACAGATGTCTGTGTGAAAGGGATCTAGGAGTCTTTGTTGACCACAAACTAACCATGAGCGGCAGCTAAAAAAGCGAATGTGACTTGATCTGCCTCAGTAGGAGCCTAGTGTTTAGAACGAGGGAAGTCGCAGCCACACTCACCTGGAATAATAGTCTGAAGTCCAGTTCTGGGCTTGACAATTCAATAAAAAATATTGACAAAATAAAATAAGTCAAGAAGAGTGTCTTGAAATGGTAAAAGGTCTGGAAGCTAAACCATATGAGGAGCGGCTGAAGGAGCTGGGTCTACTTCCCTGGAAGTTTTGAAGCAGAGGCTGGATGGCCATTAGTCAGGAGGGCTTTGATTGTGTGTTCCTGCATGGCAGAAGGGGTTTGGACTGGATAGCATCTGGGGGTCTGCTCCAGTTCTAAGAGTCTGTTTAGCTTTTTACTGCACAAATGAAGGTACCTGAGGCCCCTTCCACACAGCTGAATAAAATCCTATATTTTCTGCTTTTAACTGGGATATATGGCAGATTGGCAGTGTGAACTGAAATAATCCAGTTCAAAGGAGATATTGTGGGTTATTCTGCCTTGATATTCTGGTTTATATGGTGGTGTCGAAGGGCCCTCAGTGAAGGCTGGAGTATGTACTAGGGGCAGGGTTTGATTGGTCAGTCACCCGGCCAGGCTTTGTCCTCCCTCCCTCCCTTCCTATGCTCCAATGTCACCTCACCTTCCTCTTTTTTCCACAGGGCCCCTCCATTTATGGACCCTCCCCTGGACCTTTAACCTTCAATGATGGTTCTGCCAGTCTGGCCAAAATGCTGCTACCGTGCCCGGCTGCTCTGGGGACTGCTCTCCACCCTGATGGTTCTCTTGATCATTCGCTTTTTGATCAGTGGGGGCCATGAGGAGCTGTTCTCACACTCACTGCCTTACTTCATGCTGGGCAGGAGACACCCCATCAGCCCCCCACTCCTGCCCTCCTCAGATGACTTCCTCCTCCTGCCACCACCTGAGGTCTGCTCCCCCAGGGCTCCTTCCCTCCTGGTCCTGGTGGCCAGTGCCCCTCATCATGCAACTCAGCGACAGGCAATCCGGTCCACATGGGGAGGGGCCCGCTGGGCTGGGAAGTTCACAGTCCAGATTTGCTTTGTCTTGGGACTGCCCCGGGAACCCTCGCTTCAGATGGTGCTAGAACAGGAGGCAGCTGAACACCAGGACCTGGTCCAGGGCCGCTTCTTGGACAGCTACGGCAACTTGACACTCAAGACTTTGTCCCTCATGGGCTGGGCAGCCACCCACTGTCCTGGTACCCTCTTCTTGGTCAAGGTGGATGATGATATCTTCCTCAACCTGCCCGGCCTGGCTGAGGAGCTGGAACACCACATCACCTTGGCACCAACCTACCTAGGCCAGATCCATTGGCGGGCCAGGCCCAACCGGGACTCCCACAGCAAGTACTACATCCCCACCAGCCTTTATCCAGCAGAGCGTTTTCCCCTCTACTGCAGTGGCGCAGTCTATGTCCTTTCAGGGGCTGCCGTACCCATTTTGCTGGGAGCTAGCCGCCATGTGCCCCTGGTGCCTGTGGAAGACATCTTCGTGGGACTCTGCGCCCATTGGGCAGGCATCGCCCCCCAGCACCTGGCCCGACTGACTGGTGGGGACCACTTCCCGCCAGACCGCTGTTGCTACCAGGGGATTCTCCTCAGCGTACACAAGGTGACTCCCATCGAGATGGCAGCTGTCTGGGACTCGACCACCCCCTACAAGGAGATGTGCCAAGTCTGGCAGTGGGCACTGGGGTACCTGTGGTGCAAGGCCCTGGCCTGGATGGCTGACCTGTGAGCCAAGAGGCAGCTGAGTGTCTCTGGACAAATGGGCATTCAGATGAAAGTCCATTTTGCAAAACTGTACCCCCAACTCTGCATCCGCAATTGTCCCCTCCGCAATTGTCCCCTCTTGGATTTGAATTCCTGCCCTCCTGATAGCCAAAAAGGAAGGCAATGGCCAGGCAAGATCTGAACAAAGTGTTTGAGGTGCCACCCTGGCATCATGGTTTGACCATTGGACCACAATTCTGGGAGTACAGGTTTTGGGTCCCTTTTCTGCCCTGGTGACTATGGTTGAGTCCACAATGCTAGTAAGCTCAGAGGAAGGCAACAGCAAGTTTGCTCAGAACAAATCTTGCCAAGAGAAGCCCAAGACAGGTTAGGGTTAGGGTCACCATAAATCAGAAGTGACAACAACAACTAGAATTTAATATTATGATTAAGGTATGAAGTCTTCTTGGATAACCTTGGATTGTTTAACACTTGGTCTCACTGTGTCCCCCCCCCCCCCCGACTCTCCCTCTCCTGTTCTGACCAATTCAGCAGCAAAGTTTGCTTGGGGTCACCAGTTGCTAGAAGACTCTGATGGAAAGAAGCCAGGCAGAGGAACTTGAGGTCCCAGTGTTGCTCTTTGTGTGAAGATGTACCTTCATACTGCTTGCTGACCAATGTATTTCCCAGGTTTTTCTTAGGCCAGGAATCCTCACAGTGGTTTCATCGATTCCTTCCTCTGAAATACTTCTTCTAGTAACTGGGATTTTTTGGTGGTCCTCCATTCGAGTCCTAAGCAGAGCTGAGGTGGCTTAGATTCCAAGATCAGACAGGATCTGGTGCCTTGTGTGTGTGTTCTGCCTTCAAGCAGCCTGTCAACCCCACAAGCTCAATAGGGTTTTCTTAGGCAAGGCAGTATGGACAATGCGTAGAAATTCTCAAGGTTGTAGTCTTTACCTCTGACAGCACTTGGGATATATCTTTTTTTTTTGTTGGTCGGGTTTTATTTTTCTTGGAATATGCCTGTGTGTGAGTGTTTTTTTTTTTGTGTGCATGGAGATCGGTGCACAGCCAATCAATACACAGTCTTCACAGAATGAGGTTCCCAACCAGTGATGTGGTTAACACTATGAAGGTGGCTTCTCAATCTGTTGCAGCCATCTTCCGTTTTCACAGCTGTTGTAACATGTACTATGTTGTCTTCTGCCTGATCTGCTGTTGAGGTCTTCGGGTCTTCAGATTGTGCTTGGTCCGGAACCTCCTCTGCATCCCCACCTGGGAGTGCATGACTCTGATGGTTATGCCCGCAGGTTCACTGGAACACACAAGCCCCCTCACCACAACAAGTTGATAATCTAAAACTTTATTTATGTTCCACCCTCTTTCCCCGAGGGGACTCAGGGTAGATTCATAACAAAAGATGGCAAATATTCAATGTGAGATCCAATTCATAAATAAGAAACATAAAACAAACAACCATGTCCCCAAAAAACAATATCGACATCCAAGCTATACCCCAAAACTTAAATGATATCATAATCAATCACTTAATCTATATCTAACATAGCCAAAAAATTAGACAAATTATATAAACAACAGTTAACATTCATTGAGAATAATTCTTAAAATGTTATGCAGCCAGTAATGCCAGTGAAGTCAGCGTTACCAACTAAGGCAAAACCAACTGAGTCATAGTAGGGTCACAAGTTCAGAACAGGTATATTGATTGAATGTGAACTTCTAATCATCCTCCTCTCCATATGCCAATGAACAGAAATAAGTCTTTAATTGTTTTTGAAGGAGGGGAGGGGTCATTTTTATTTCTTTATTTCTTTAGGGAGGGAGTTCCAGAGATGGGGGGTGATCACTCTCATTCCCACCAGTCGCTTGAGATAGTAGCCAATACTATCAGTATATCAGTAGCCTACACTAACCAACCCCAAGACATCATAGTTTTCAAGATTAGAAGGAATTAAGTGTCTTCAGGGTATTTAAGCCAAACCATGCATTCACTACACTGAGATCCTAAACTTCTGGAGAGACAAAAGGAATAAGAGCTGCTTCTTAAAAGCTGGACAACTTTGCCAACGGGCTCCGGGTTTGTGTACTTTGTTGTTGCTGTTGCTATTCTTGGTGTTGTTGTTGCTGCCGCTGTGTGCCATTTAGGGATTTGTAGGTGATAACTTGCACCTTGAATTGAGACCGGAAACTTATCGGCAGCCAGTGAAGCTGTTTAAACAGGAGAGCTGACCACTCCCTGTAATGCAGTCCAGTTAACAACCTGGCCACCGACCTTTGCACCAGCTGCAATTTCTGGGCCGTCTTCAAAGGCAGCCCCATGTAGATTGCATTACAGTAATCCAATCTGGAAGTAACTAAGGCATGGAACACAGAGGACACGTGAGACTTCACAAGGTATGGTTGCAGCTGGTGCACAAGCTTTAATTGTGCAAAGGCCCTCCCAGCCACCACCGACACCTGAGCATCAAGCATCAGTGCTGAATCCAAGAGGATTCCCAGGCTGCGGACCCAGGATGTTAGCCTAGAATCTTCTCTGTGAAGAAGAATCATCTTGGGGATAAAAAGAAGAAACGGGAGAGAACAAGCGAGACGCTTTGGAGGGGTCCCAACGTTCTGCAGCTGTCCTCATTTTTTATGCTGATGATGTCGAGCACCCCCCCCCCCAAAAATAAGGGATGGTGACTTATAGTTCTGCAAAGGACAAAGGTACCAGACTGCACAATAGGGGTTAAGTCTTGGTCAATTTGTCAAGGCCTTAACAAACAATGAGGACCCCATGAAACTTTGGGAATGGCTAGACCTTGGGTCTCTGCCTCTCTCTCTCGAGAGCTGTAGTTTTCCAAGGACCATGGGACCGGCTTCCATTCCAGCGCTGCAGGGCTTTGCGTCTTGACCCAGTGGAACTCCATAGACTCCCTTTGTCTGGCTTTTTGAATTCTGCTACATTCCTGGACTTCACTCTCTTCAAGGACTCGCTCTCTACCCATGAACTTTCTTCAAGACAACTTATGAATTCATGCTGTGTCCTGATATCGTCTGCTTTTTATAATTGGTATTATTAATCTCTCTCTGGGGACCCGGATGGGAAGATAGCTGCATATGATTTCCCTGTGTATAATTTCTATATGTAAGGGAACCCCCTGGCCTTCAGAAACAAAAGACTGAAACCTCCCGCCAAAGACACCTTTGCATGGATAAAAGAAGGAGATTCTTATCTCCAGCCTCGGAAGATGGCCCACTAAAGTAAAGCATTGTTTGACAAAAGTTTCTGTAAGATAAGGGGAAACCTTCCCCTCTGCTTTTGTTTACTTATCATTAACCTCAGGCTGCCATCATTGTTCTCCTGTCTCACAGCCAGGAAGGATCGGGACACATTTTGACCCTTTGTCTCACAAGAGCACATGGCATTCCTTTGTTTAAGGACCCCTTTCCCAGATTCCTTTGTGCTCCCTCATCCCACCTCCATTTCTCCTGATTGGCTGTCGCCACCAGGTGGTTGAGGTCTCCCCATTGGTTTCTACGGACCACTGGAGCCCATCGCCCAATCAGGGCAGGGAACAACAGGGAAGCCGGGGCGGGGAGTTTGAACTCTACAACTTTGAATTTGCTATAAATATGACTGTATTGGTGTATTCCCCTCATGCTTAGCTTGGCGAATGATTGCAGCTTTGCACCCGATTTCAGCTGAATCGCATTAAACTTCGATGGCCTTTCTTCAACTGGTGAGATTTTTCATTGGGAAATCAGGGAAAAATATGGGATGCTTCTCTGTCTCGCCAGGGAAAAAAGAACTCTTTGAGGAGTCTAATTGGTCTCTGCCTCCTGGCAAAGACCCCTAAATTTTAGCTCTATAACACTGAGGGATGAGAGAAGATATTCCTCCCTTAGTCCTACTGGATGTGGGCCATCTTTGGTCCTCTGGTGTTTTGGATGTCATCTCTCACAAGTCCCAACCAGTACAGGCAGGGCTCAAGCTTTCTAGGGGTTGAGGTCTCAAACATTTGCAAGGGAGCAAAACTTAAGAACCACGCATCCCAGCAGGTCCCAATCTGCCCCCTTCTTCCTCTAAACACACACATGACGCTCCCCTCCCTATCCCTGGCAGGAGAGAGGAAGCTGCGGAGGGGCTCAGGTTTCGCTTCCCCAGGCCCCAAGCTGCACTCAGCAAGTCTTCAAGGGAAATGAAAGAGACCCAATCCCAGCAGCTGCAGTCAGACAAAGGCAAAGCCAAACTTCCTTCTAAGGCTGCTTCAGCCTCCAGACCCCTCCTCACCCCAAAGATCCCCTCACATCACCACCTTCCTTCCCATTTGCCCCCAGAGCCATAAGCATAATTGAGGATGGCGAGATGGACACAAGTGCATAATAAACAGAGGAAAGGGCCTCAAGACACAGAGTCTGGTGGGAAAAGAACCAGGTCAGACCTGTCAGATACAGCCCCCCCCCCCCCCTTCAAAACATAAACTCATTTGAGGCAGTGAAGCTTTTTTTCACAGGAAAAAAACAACAGAACAAGCCACTGGCAAGCAATATAAACATCATAACATATAGACTCCGCATTTTAAATGCTTTGCAGGCAATTTACCTATTTGTCAAAATCTAATACACATGGTCTTGTCTTTCATTGGACATTATCTAGTTCCCACTTTTCCATTTTCACAAGAGGAAGACCTTGGGTGATTTTCTTCTTCTCAACATAAAACCATCAGTCAGCCAAAACAAGATTCCCAGCTAACAAGATCAGGTAGTACTATTCTGTGCAAAGGAAATGTTTTTGAAGAAACATGTTTCCCAGGGACTCTAACTTCCAACATACTGAAATATGAAATTCAAACAATATTCAACATACAATTTTTTAGCTGGCCACACATATGAATACTAAACCATTGTGTAACATACCCACATTAGCCAATGTAGTTAACCTCTGAGGATGCCTGCCATAGATGCAGGCAAAACGTCAGGAGATAATGCTTCTGGAACATTATTATTATTATTATTATTATTATTATTATTATTATTAAACCTTATTTGTACTCCGCTAGCATCTCCTGAAGGACTCGATGCAGCTTACAAAGGCCAAGGCCTCAACACAACAAC